ATTCCTGAAAAAGTAGGTATACCAGAAGTTTGGAAAATTCTAAAACCCGGATCTGAAGTTCACTTATGGTAATTTTGAGGATTTTAAGAATTATTTTCACATTGTCCTTTTTCGAAAATTTCCAAAGTCTTTTTCACCTTTTCACTTCCCATTTGATGAAAACTTTCTCGAATTTTCAACTTCCTCCTTTTCCCATGATCTCTGTGTCCCATAGAAACAAGACAGAAATAGAGAAATCAGTTGAACAGAGAGACCATCTGGAAACTAGTAGACACTTGCAAAAACGTGAGAGAGTGTGAAATTGAGAGAGCATCTAGAGAAAACAGGGAGAAATTTATTTGCAACCTAAGTTCACAACCTTCCCTAGTTAGGGTTAACTTCTGGAATAGGTGGATTACGGCTGCCTAGCAGCTCCCAGAGGTTTTTTGAGTCACCGAGCTTGCTGTCGAACCTGTATCATAAGGGCCCCTTCAATAGGAGGGTCCCTCTAATAGAGGGGCCCTCCGGAGGTACCTTGAAAAAATAGAAGGGTCGGCCCTTCTATAACAGGCATTTTTTAAAATTTAGAAATAATGACCTGCTCACTTGCTCCAACTCAGAAAATCTTGGTAACATTCCTTCTTCCTTCAATTACCATTCCTCCTCTCGACCTCCCTGAAAAAATCAAAACAGTTACAAAATTTCCATGTTGCCCCGTTTCCTTGTTACTGTTTGCTTTTCCTCCCCTCGTTTTCCCCCCAACATCCCATTATTCCCCCATCTCATTTTCTCTGTTGTTTTCGATTACTCCAGTACCACCCAGAGCTACCTGACACCAAGAAAAAAAAAGTTTCTTGTTTTTCAACATTTCTTGCATTTTTTCTTGTACTACTCATGGTGGTGGCACACAAAAGCGGATGTTTACGGTTTGAAAAAAGAAGGTGGTCAAAACAAAAAGGGATGGAAACTAATGGGTCTGGACAGATCTACATTTTCGAAATGTATTTTTGTAAGTCTGCAAATTCAAAAAAGTGATGTCAGGAAACGGGAACTACGGTAATAAGCCTGGATCAAGGCTAGCGGAAATAGAGCCGCGGCCGGCTTCTCATGGGTAGGTCGCCGTGGACCATAGCCTGCCCTCAAAACAGCCTAAGCCAAAGGCTTGAAGGGTTTTCCATATTCTAAGAATCTGAATTAAAATTCCAACTGTATGACTCATTTCTGATTTTTCAGGATACGGTTTATCACGAGGCTGGTGGTACCAACCAGTGATTCATTGTTTATCATTATCTTCATATGAAACTCCGCCCATGTCCAACACAGTTTTCCCTTTCCTTGTACCCACAGATGTTCATTTTTCCAGGGAAACCTGTTCTATGTCGTACCCCTAGAAAATCCGGCAGATGCTGCAAGAAAGTGATTTCTTAGAACGAGAGGGATATCACAAAACCCCAGATGCTTGGATAGTACTAGTCTAGGTCAAGAGAGAGTTTTCGCTTTGAGATTTTCACTTTGAGATGAGGGATATGTGTTAAAAAACTAGGAAAAGGGCCTAGAAAGTGAAGACAACTTCAGAGCTTGAAAGGTTATACGTAAACTTTGAGCTCAATTATCTCAATTTCTGTAAAAGATAGCCAAAAAGTGTTAACTCATAAAATGTTTGTCATATTATCACCAATATTTTATCAGTTGACAAATTTTTGATATCTGTTAAAAATACCAAGATAATTGAGCTCGAAGTTAACATAAAGGGTGGGCTTCTATTTAAGGGTTAACAGTAATTTAGGTTGAAAAATGAGCCGAAAAGAAGTAACTCTGTTCCAGTTGTACTCCATTTAATCAGGTTTTTTGAAGGTTTAAAAAAGAAAAATTGAAATATCCAAATTTTTTTCAGCTTTAACATTTTTTCCCCATTTTTACTGATCCGAGATACCGTAGATAGTCTACTAGAACGCCCCTTTCACACCTTTATCTTAGAACCTATATAGCTCATTTCCTGTAGAAGATCAAAAAGTAATCAACTGATATAATGTTTATCATAACGTGATCAATATTTTATCAGTTGACAGATTTTTGATGGCTTACACAGGAACCAAGATAAATTGCCTTAAAAATTAGGGGGGGGGGTCATCTCCCAAATCCACAATGCCCTTCTTCAGCTTGTCCTTCTACGATTTTTTTCCTGAAAATGGTCCAATTCAAATTCTCCCCAGCTTTTTGTTTACCACTTCCACCATGTCCATGTTTTGAATCCCCCCTCTCCAAATCGACCCAAAACATCTCCCTCTGTCCCTTTTCCTGGGGTCCAAAATGCCGCCATCTCGAGTAGAAGGGGTACCTGGTGTACCTAGTGTGGTGTCAAAACATCTTTTTTTGAATTCCTGTGTTCAAGCGGAAATTCAAATTTTTTGAGAAGAAGTGCAAAATAAGAAATAGAAAACAATGGAGGGGGATGTTGTACTTTTGAAAAAATTGTGGTGAAGAAAGGGAAATTTTGGATTGCTGGGGCAAAAAAAATGGATAGAAAGTGAGATTTTTTGCAAGAGAAGAAAAAGAGAATCAGATTTTTTTACATTAAAAAAATTGTTTGTCCGCATATCTGTTTGTCCGATGTTCTCTTTCTCAATTCCAAAATTCTGAGATTCCCCTTTTATCTTCTTTGCAAATGGGCCCAAAAAATATCCCACTGAAAAAAAGACGCCACATAATTAGGGCTAGAAAATTCGTGTCGTTCTAAGAAGTGTCAGTGTATATGTACACTGGAAATTGGCTCAAATTATCCACATCATGGGCGACTCCGGATGGCAGTGCCAGGAAGAGCAGGATGTACTAGAAGAGTTCACATTTTCCCTCCTGAAAATCTGAATTCTTGGCTGTTTCGACCATTTTCAAGAGTCTGGAGCTCAGCTGTCAAGTTTCCGATCACTTTGAAAATTTTGGAAGCTGTAAAAAGGATCTAGACTGAAAACTTTGCATTCATAGAAACTTTTGAAAATCTCTAGCTTTTCAGCTATTTGCCGATTTCTGAAAGAAACCCATTTTGGTCCTTTTTTGTTCTGAAAATCTAGCTAATGAATCTCCGAACCCAGTCATCATTATTACACACACCTTGTCCTCCCGAACAGTCATAATTTACACTAGCATACATAAGAATTACTCATTTTCTCTGACCCAAGAGGTGTTGGTGGCGAGGAGGGTGGCGTAGTACAGTTTCTCAAGCTCCGCCCATTTTCCTCGAGTTGCGAGGAAAGAGAAGGAGGAGCTAGATAAGGGGGCGTGGTCTAAGGCTTGAGACGGTAAACAGGTCAATGGGTCGGGTCAGTCATTTTGTTTTCTTGGCTAGATGAGCCAACAATTAAGATCAGGTTGTAGTCCTAGAGGCTGTGATGATCAGTCTGACCTTATTGATCTGAGCCAGATAATGAGATGAGTAGCATCGGAATCTGACCAACGCCACTAATTTCCCTCTTCCTCTTTGAATGAAGAATTTCCATCTGGAACTCTGGACATCATCTGAAAATATATGCAAACATATCCGATTTCACCTGTCACCCTCTTTTCCCCTCGTTTTTCGTACCAACTGCTCACTTCCACCACTTTCCTTTTTTGAACACTCTAATCTCCAAATCTTTTTCTGGTCCATTGCCCAAATCTTGCCCAAACCTTGCCCCAAAAATGGGTCGTCGTAGTCCGAAGCATACCACCGTTGAGTACGTTGATCTACCACCCAGAAGATCACCGCCCAGAGGACCACCACCACCAAAAAGAAAAAGGCTGATGCCACCGAAGCCGAAGCCGTCCTGGCCTGGAGAGAGATTCGAGGAGGGACGGATCACTGATGTGTACTATACTCATGAAGGCTATGAATCACATCGCGTCGATACTTGGGATTGGATTCCGATTATTGAGAATTTTGGTGAGTTATTGGGCACCGGGTCCTTGGAAATTTGCTGTTGAATTCTCAAATTAGGGGTTGAGAGGCTAGCTTGACAATGGCTTACCTATTTCTAAGCTTAGAAAACAGCAAATTTGAGCTTAAAATCATATAAATCCCTTGGAAACCGTTAAAAGCTGATTTTTTGACCATTTCAACAAAACGTGTCCAGATAGACAAGTGGGATTTTTCATGAAATCTATGGATCTGAAGGTCGCGGGTTTGAAGCCCACCGGTGGATTTCTTTTGGTTTTTTTCCTGTGGGCTTAGGAAATGCAAACTAGGTTGGCACTAGGCTCCTACTGTAAAGAAGGACTCCGTGACTTTTAACTTTGAGCTGATTTATCTCGGTTCCTGTTAAAGATATGAAAAAAGTGTCAAACAATAAATTGTTTATCATAATATCACAAACATATTATCAGTTGACACATGTTTTCTATCCTGCATAGGAGCCGAGATAATTGAGCTCAAATTTAAGATTGTTGGTGCCCTTCTATAAAACGTTTTTCGTTAATCTTGAGAGTTTACAGTTCCCAATTTTAGCCACCCTTCCAATTTTCAAATTCAAAAATCCTTATCTCTTATCTCTCACTGCTCTCCACCCCATCTAAATAATTGCTCTTTATGATAATTTTCGCCAAAAATGGTGTTGTACACCCTGACACCACTGTTTGCACTATTTTATCAATTCACCACCACCAACACCACGAGCAACACATATTGATATGTAAACGAGGTGTTGTTGATGTGGCTCCCATTCTTAATGAGACCCCCTTGAAAATGATTATGAGGTATGACTTGAGACACATGGAGCCATAGAGAGGGGGTGATAAAAAATTTGAAAGTATTGAGTTTCAGTTGGAGTTTTCTTTTCCATGTTTTGAGGTGTTCCAACTAGCGTTACTCAGAGAGACTTCAAAGCAGGACCATGATTTTTTGTATTGAGGGTTTAGACAGTTCTTAACGAATGTACCAACTCCAGGAACTGATAGAACTGATAGAAAGGAGGTTGGTCCTTCTCGGACCAGTGGAGCAAAGGAACTCAATTTTCACGTTGTGATAATTTTAGGTTATGGTAGTTTTTGTTCCGAAGCCTTTAGCCATGACCATCAGCGACCATCAGCGCCAGGGGCCACTTTTCCATAAAATCAACAGAATCTCATAATCAGATGATAGCCAAAATTCTCAATTTCTTATCAAAATATCCCCAATATTTTATCAGTTGACGAATTTTTGATATCTTTTAAAGGAACCGAGGTAAATGAGCTGCATATACATCGCGGGCTTCAATTGGAGTAGTAACGGCTTTTGCGGGTTCTCTCACTTTATGATTATTCACGAAAATTTTGGCACTGATCCAACTACGGGCCCTCCCTAAAAGAAGCCGCGAATGTTTCTCAGTTTCTTAGTCATTAGTAAGTACCCGTCGCCTCTTTTTGTAGGACAAGTCGGCATCGTAAAACATCGCCTCAGAGAAAACCGACACAAGTTTCGGGCGGCTTTTGACTGTTTTTATAGTCCTGAGCTTTTGATCATGATGAGCGTGACTTGATTATGAAAAAAGAAGATTTATGACTTGATAGATGGAGATAGGAGATATTGAAAAAGTATCAGGTTACATAAAAGAACATCTGGAAGGAGCACAGAAGTCTTGATTTATTAGATTTACTATTTAGATTAGGACAGATAAGCAATCTTCCAGGCAGAAGCAGTGATCCACAATCTTCAGGGTCTTGGAAATAAAACCTCTAATAGAAGAGCACCTAGCTTTTTAACTTTGAGAAAAAGTTTATCGGTTTCTGTCGAAGATATGACAACTGATCAATTGTTTATCATAACGTCAGAAGTGTTTTATCAGTTTACAGGGTGGGCTATGTGGGGGGTGCTCTTCTCTTACAGGTTTTACGGTATTTGAGTTTTTATGTTTACCGTAAAGCCTGTATTTGAAGGGCTCTTACACTGTCAAGATTGAGCTCAATTATCCCGGCTCCTATGAGATATATCAAAAATGTGTCAACTGATGAAATCTTTGTGATATTAAGATAAACAATTTATCAGTTGACATATTTTTTATATCTTTAACAGGAACCGATAAAAATCGGCTCAAAGTTTAAAGTCTAGGAGCCCTTCTATTACAGGTTTTACGGTAACTATCTAATTCAGAAGAATGTTTCCCTTTAAGCTTTTTTTTTTCAAATTTCAGAACTTTGTGTACCCGTTTGCTGGCACGATGCCAATTTTGTACACATTTTTGAACATTACACTCGATCAGTTAGTTCAGTATCACCAATTTGATCATCATCCAAAAAAGTCAGTTTTTTGGGGGGGGGGCTTACTATAACTTTACAAAGAGTGTAGTAGTAAAATAAACTAGACCACCGCTCATCATTTTTTGTCGCTTCTCCATCGCGAGTTTTGTTGTTCAGGATGGAGAGTAGACAACAACAGGAGGAGGAGGAGGAACGGGGCAAGCGAACGTTGTTTATTTATTTTTTACACTCTCCAAAAAACAACAGAGAGATAGGGAGAGTGGTTAGAGAAGGAGAGAGAGATAGGGGGAACATTTTACACTTTCTGAAAATGGTATTTTATTAGGGCAGAATGAGCCTGTGTATGGACCATTTTTAGTGTATGTTGTGGTACTATGTCTACTATTCTTTAGCTTATTTAGTACTTTTTGAGAATTTAGCCAATTTCATCCTAGCAGGCCCTGTTTATTTACCGTACTTCTTCTAACCCTATTAAATAAATAGGCAATTATCTACATTTCCAAAAAAATAAGGAAATGAAAATTGACAACGTTTTCTTCATTACATGGGAGTTTTCCTCAGAAAACAGCGAAAATGAGCTTAAACTCATAAAAGTCCCTCGGGAACTGTTACAAACTGATTTTAAAACCATTTTTCAAAATAGTGTCCAAATGGCCTAGTGGAATTTTTCATGAATTTTATGGATCTAAAGGTTGCGGGTTCGAACCCCACCGGTGGCACTTTTTTTTTTGGTTTTGGGTGTGGGCTTAGGAAATGCGAACTAGTCGAATGTTACCAAAGTTTCACTGAATTGGCACTAGGCTCCTATCGTAAAATGTAATGGAAGGTCCCTCTAACGAGCCTATTCATCTCGGTTCCTGTAAAATATATCAAAATTTTATCAACTGATAAATTGGTTATCATAATATCAGCAATATTTTATCAGTTACCGACTTTTTGAAATCTCTCATAGGAAGCGAGATAATTGAGCTCAAAGTGTACATATGGGGGGGGGGCCTTCTAGTAGAGCAAGTACGGTAGCTGGTTTTAGATTGAGATACATCCACCCGTTTGGGCATTTTCCTTCTCACACCATTCACACTATCTTCACTTTTATTGCTGATCCCATCTATTTCTCCACCAAAAGCCTCTCACAGCAACAGAAGGTGAAATCTGCATGAACATGTGTTTAATTGTCCAGGATTTTACCAGGTCATCCTCGCTCCTAAGAGAAATCCACAAATCTTACCTCTTTCTTCTTTGTCCCCCCCCCCTCCTTTCTGTGTGTTTCACTTTTTTATGGAACAGAACAGGATAAAAAAAAGTTGAAGAAGATTAATGAGATCCAGTTTTTGTACCTCTGGACAGAAGGGCAAAAGCTTGAGGGGTCCTCGTGAGTCCTAAGGGTCTCACAGCGTAGATAGGCGTTGTTAAGTTTGAGCTCAATTTATCTCATTCATGTAAAAGATATCAAAAATGTGTCAACTGACAAAATGTTGGGGACATTATGACAAACTTTTAATCAGTTGACGACTTCATCATATTTTGAACAGGAACCGAGATAAATGAGCTTTAAAAAGCGGTTTGGGTGACCTTCTACTAAATGTGTTTACGGTAACTCCAGCATAAGAAATGGCTCTTTTTTCTGATGAATTATGTATTTTGACATGAATTATTCCACATTTTTAACGTTTCAAAACACTACAGTTCATTAATTTTACTCTTGAAGGGGTAGGTTTCCTTCAAATAGATGACTTTCTCATTTTTCACTCATTTTTGCATTTTTTCGAGCACCCCTCGTTCATTTATTTTGTCTTCCTCCACTCTTGATGACAGGTCCAAGCTTCTCAAAAATATGGGATTTTTTTTGAAACTTTCATTCATTTTTTTCTTGACTTATCTCTTCTTTTTCTTCTTGTTCCCGTCTTCCCCGGTGCCAGGAACTACCCACACCACCCGAGACACTGAACGAAACGAAACGAAAAAAAAACCCTCCGAAAGATGCGACCTTTTGACTGATACACTGATAAAAAGTGCAAAAATCTTGAAAAAAATAGGTCAGAATACATGATGAAACGTGGTTTCTCCCTGGGTTTGATATGAGAGGGTTACTGTAGAAAATTCGGAAATCTCGAGGGAATTAGGAAATGTTGAAAAGCAAGGACAAAGTTTTGAAAAACTTCTGGAGATTCTTGAAAAGTTCCACCTGCTCCAAACTGACCATCTAGTGCTAGGCACCTGGAATTCTTGAGGAATACCCCTCTTGTTTTTTGAAATTTCGAAATTTAGCACTTTTTTCGAAAAAGCATCTTTCGTCCTCTTATCAATTCGAAAAAGTTTGGTTATCATTTTTCAAAAGTGTGAGGCGCGGGAAAATGGAGAAAAAGCAGAGAAGACATGAAAACTTTTTGAACTGTAAAAATTTGAAAAATGCTGGAAAATCAGTTACCCTTTGAACTTTATAGATTTGAATTTCTGAAATTTAGATTTGTAATCAATTGTGATCGTAATCAATTCATAGGTTTTGGAGGCCTGTATTAGAAAGCCTGTCTTAGAAAGGCCGGCCCTTCTAATGTTCCAATGTTCTTCCGGAGGGCCCTTCTATTACAGGGGTCCTTATAATACAGGTTTTCCGGTATCCCGATCATGGTCCACAAAAGTTATCGAAAGTTGAAAAATTGTGTTTTAGGTTCAAATTTCAGACCTCAAGTTTCACGGATTGACAATTTGCTCCAAACCTTTTTTTCACATTTGCTAGTCTCTGTAATTTTTAGGTTTGTCCGGTTTCTCGAAGCCTGAAAATCCTGACTACGGTAATACCTGTAATAGAATGACCCCCATATTTTGGGCCAATTTTTATCAGTTCCCGTCGACGATACGAAAAAATTGTCAACTGATAAATTGTTTAACATAATATCACAAGTTTTTTGTCAATTGAAACATTTTTGATATCTTGCACTGAAATAGAGATATAAAGGCTCAAATTAAATGGTTAGGGGGGGGGGGGGGGCTTCTATTACAGGTTTTACGATATAAAACTTCTTGTTTTTTCCTTTTTTTTCCAACTTATTAGATCAACTAGATTCTAAATGCTGGAATCCCCTTAAGGTACTTAAAGTTCCAAGGTCTAGATTCTAGACCCTCGACCTCCCAGGAACCCCCTCGACCTCCAAGCTTCTTCTTCTCACCTTTCCGACCCTCTCTAAAATGTTCAACTTCTTCATCTCGACCTCAACTTGCCCTCTATATCTCCAATTCTATTCTTCATACACACACAAATGTTCCGCCCGTCTCATCATCTTCTCTCTCGTTCTCTCGCTTTCCGCGCGCGCGCCGCTTCGTGCCGCCTAGGTACCAAGCGCCACCACCAATAGAACATTTGTGTGGCGTTTCGGAAAGGGACTGAAAGACGCAGACATACAAACAACGAGACAAGTCGTGCCTGACCCATTGCATCCCCCCTCTTCTCTGTGTCGTGCCTAGCACCCCCCTGTTCTCTAGCACGCTCTCCAGGGGATGCTGTACTATCTACACCCAAGGGGTTCTCTAACCGGTCACTCTGTACTCTGGAGCTCTCTGACTATCTCGCCTCCTGGCTTCTTGGGGGGGGGGGGGGGGGGAGATGGAAACAAGAGGGGAGGAGACTTGAGAGGAAGCAGTAGCCCTCCCTTTTCCTCCAGTGTCAGTCTGTCCGTGTGTCTGTGTGTGCTAGATGGTACCAGCGGATTTTCAGACATGAGAGAGGGAGCTTCTCCCTCTAGAAAGTGGGCGGAGCTTCCTCCGAGGAGCAGATGATGTCGACTCGAGGAGGGGCACTACATTTTTTTGTGTTCTCTTTCATTCATGTCTATAAAGTTCATGTTGCCAATGTTGGCACTTTAGGAATGAAGACTTTGTGATTCTAGGATTCTAGGATTCTAAGATTTTAGGATTCTAGGATTCTTGGATTCTAGGATTCTAGGATTCTAGGGTTCTAGGATTCTAGGATTCTAGGATTCTAGGATTCTAGGATTCTAGGGTTCTTGGATTCCAGGGTTCTAGGATTCTAGGATTCTAGGAATCCAGAATTCTAGGAAACTAGGATTCTAGGATTCCAGGATTCTAGGATTTAGACATTATATCCCAAGCCTCCATATAGAGCTCATTAGGGTTACGGTGGAAATTTAGAACTTCCAAATTTTAAGGATTTTTTTTCCGATTTTCGGGTTTTATTCATGATCTGTCTATAGGACTAGCTTTCTCCTATATTTCTAAGGTTCTTGAATTCCAGGCTCCAACTAAATTTCAACATCTAGATTCTCAAATCTTAGAATTCCTGGATTCCTAGTTTTTACGGTTTATTTAACTTTAGTTTTTAAAAAATCCTAGTCTCTCGAACCTATGTCAAATTTCAATTCCACATTTTTTTTGGCTCCTCCCACACCCCAGACCCCCCAGACAAGAATCCCCGGCTCTCTCCTCTCCTATCTCTTCGTTATGTCCGCACAAAGTCAACATAAATAAAAATATATATACGGTTTTATTTGGTCAAGAGAGTCTCCTCCCATCCCTTTTTCACTCTAAATTTGTACGCAAAAGCACTACAATAGGGAGAGGGAAGGTGAAATATCGGAGAGCGAACGGACGAAGAGAGATGAGGAGCAGAGAGACACCACTGTTTTATTTTTAGTACCTTTCAAATTTTACTACCTTGTTTGACAGAATTACTGATGAGAATTTGGCTTTAGCTAAATGTAACTATCACCGTTTTCGAAAAAAATCAGAATCGTTTTTACCGTATTTCCTCTAAGTCAGCTTTGAGCTCAATTATCTCGATTCCTGAGAGAGATATCAAAAATTTGTTAACGAATAAATTGTTTATCATAATATCACCAATATTTTATCAGTTGACAAAATTTTGATATCTATCACAGGAATCGAGATAATTGAGCTCAAAGTTGACTAGACCATATACGGTATTTTGAAATTTTTATGAAAGTTTCAAATTCTTCGAGTTTTGCTATCTTTTTAAAGCAAAATTTTAAAGCTTAAATTTTGGAAGTTTTTGAACTGAATTTTCAATTTCTCAAAACTATCGAATTTTTGATTTTTGGGACCTCAGAATTTCAGAATTTTGGGGTTTTTGAGATCTAAAAATTATAGAATTTTTATAGAAAATTATAGAGACATCAAAATCTCCGAATTTCAGACTTTTTGAAATTTTCCCGATAGATTTCATTGCTAGACTCTTAAAATTTTTGCAAACTTTAGAAACTTCAAAATTGTTTAAAAGATGTAAATTTGCCTATCTTAATCTCTTTTGATGAAAATCAATAAGTTTTGAAACTAGAATTTCAATTTTAGTTTTAAAAGGCTTCCAAAAAACTTTCTCGAAATTACTCCCCTCCTGCTATCAGTAGTTTTTATCACCTACCTGTTCTAATTTATTGCCATCACTGACACAGAGAAAATCATTATATTTCTTCGTCTTCTCTGTCTGTAAAAAAACCGACAGCCCTCCCCAACCCTAAAAAATCGAACCGTGAAGGACATCATCTCATCTACAGTCCATGCCACCCGTCGGCAGGCACGGACGGAGTGTGTGACCCCGTCATTTTGACACTTTTTCAAAAATTCTGATAGATTTTAATAGTTTCTGCTGCAAAATCTTTAAGAATTCGCTTGAATTTTTCCTACAACTCTTCTCCCAGATTTTCTCGAATTTACTATCTCGAGAAAAGATTCCTTGTCCTTCTCTTCTCGTAGACCAATCTCACTTTCAACAGTATATCCAGTCTTCTGCTTTTCCTAGAAAAATCCTTCTTATTCTTATTCTCGTCTTCTTCATGCTGACCATCCTCTCCTCCGATCCAGTCGATTCCGTCCCGCCCGTCGCTTCGTTGTCCTAGTACAGTAGGCCCAAGCATCACGATTCTTCTTCTCCCGCTCGCTCTTGCGGCCCCCACTCTTTCTCTCCTGCCTCTGTTAGATTTTTCCATTTTCTCAGTTTTTCCGCAAGAAGCACTTTATCTCTCTATCCGTAGCTTTCTAAGGGCAACAACGTGTCTACAGTACTATCCTTCAACTTTCTTGAAACCTCTTTGAACGTCCACTTTTTTGGAACGCCAACTTTGAGCCCATTTATCTTGATTTTTGTAAAAGATATCAAAAAGTTGTTGACTAACAAAATATTTTTCATATTATGGTGAACATTTTGCTAGTTGAACACTTTTTGATATCTTCTACAGAAACCGAGATAAATTTACTCAAAGTTTGCGGATTGGAAGCCTTTAGTGTTTATGAAATCCAATTTTCTTGAAACCCCGATTATCAGGGATTAGTGTAAATTTCACTTTATCTTGTTCAGTCTCGAAATCTTTTAAAATTATCTAACTTATTAATTCCTTTCCAATAGCTGAATATTTCCAGAACGTGGCACCATCAGCCAAATGGAGCCAGCCGGCCACTCAAGCGCAACACATAACATCGTTGTGCCCGTCGCCAACCATCCACAGGTAAATTTTCAAATTTATAATTGATTTTTTATAAACTGATGCTTCAATTCAAAAATAACTAAAAAACTAAATTGAAAAACTAGGAATTCTGGATTCCGACCTAATTAAAAATACACTATTAACTTTGAGTTCATCTATCTCTGTTCCCGTACAAGATATCAAAAAATAATCAATTGTCAAAATGTTTTGGATTTTGTGATGAACACTTTATCAGTTGCAAATTTTTTGATATGTTTCACAGGAAGTGAGATAATTGAGCTCAAAGTGGACAGTGTGGAACCCATTCACAGGATCTGCCTTTAAAATGAATCGAGTTGAACTCTTGCAAATCTAAAAATTACGAAACAAAATGGACCAGAAATAGGAATTTCCAATCTCAACCCAATCAAAATTATAACTTTTCCGAAATCTGATCACTTCCAGCCATCACCACCAGCCGCCGCTCCACTAGCCCCATCAACACCGATGGGATCGACTGGAGCAACGATGCGCGAGGACGGTGCCACGTTGTCACCCCCAAACACTTGGTCCTCGTCATCGGTGGAATTTCTGGATGATACGGAGGATAATCGGCTGCTCTTCACCTGTACATTCACCATTCCACACGGCACAATCCTCTCGTCAACCCTGTATTCGGAGAACTTCAATGAGCAATATCTCGAGATGGGAACCAACTTTTTGGCGAGATTGGAGCCAAAAGGACAGAGTTTCATCTTGTCAGCTGCGGCAGCATCGGTCAAGCAGAGAATTTTCGCCAGAGTTTTGATGTAAGTCCTCATTTAACATGAAAATCATATAGACACCAGAGAGAGGGGACGCAGGAAGTGAAAGTCCGCGCGTGCGTGCGCTGTCTCACGCATAGAGTGTATTCCTTGAAGAGAAATAGACGACAAAGACATTAAAACAGTGGTGGTGGTGGGGTACATCTCGGTACCACTACTACTAGTCTAGGAGGGAACAACAACAAGACCCTTGGGGCAATATAAGACGGGCGGGACCACCAGAATGATGTAAACATTGGAGCAAAGAAGAAGTGTCTCTCTTTTTTGGAGGAGCCAAGGGGTGATTGATAGGGTATAGAGTGGTCAGTGTTCGTTTGGGGGGAAAACAAGGATTGAGTGGTGTGTTCTGAATAGACACATGACACCGTGCCTAGCGCCAGAGTGTTTGGATCCTTAGAGAATGATCCTAGGATTAGGGGACCACTCAAGGAGGGGGGGGGGGGGTACCTAGGACGGGGTGGGGTGCCTTATGGGTACTTAAAGATGGAGTCACCTAATATCTAAGCCAGCTATATATTCATTTTAGCATTTTTAACTTTTCCAGATAATCCTGAAACCCGGGTTCTGAAGGTCCGCGTTAACCTAAGGCTTAGGTCCACCTAGGAAGGGGGGGGGGTGCCTTTTGGGTACTTAAGGCTGGCCAATATTTAGAACGGGACCCAGGTAACTTTTTGAACGGGACCCAGGTAACTTTTTGAACGGGACTCAGGTAAAAATCCGTATTTTACTGATCGTTTTAGTCTTCCCGATGATCCTGAAACCCGGATTTTTTGGATCCTAATTGTAAGATCCTCTAAACTAGTAGACATTAACCCCATTCTTTGGACCTTAAGCTAAAGCCGCCGGTGGCGCGCCATTAATTATCCGGATGGGACCCGAAACTGTCGAAAATCCGTTTCTACACTGACATTGGTATACTAAATGCCTCTCCTAGCGAAAGTGCAATCGAAATTGTCGTCCCCGGCGACGTCTTCTTTTCCCTACCGTCGGGTTTTTGGGGGAGCGGCGAGACAGGCGCCTCCCGGTACCAGTGTCCTCTTTTAGAGGGGAAGATATATAGAAAAATGAGAAGAATGGATTTGTGAGAAAAGGAAATAATGATGGGCTTGAAGGGGGAGTCGAAATTTGAAGGCTTGAGAAGCTGAAACTAGGAAAAATATGAATTAAACATTCCAAATTTCCAGGCCAGACAACCAACTGCGAGCATGCGAGCTCTTGTGCGAGTTTGAGCACGATCGTGCCAAGATCACAGTTCTTGCCTTGCGATCCGCTTTCAACCCACAAGGATCACATGTGTCGTCCCACTTCCACGTGTTCACCTTCATCACAAAGCACTCGTCAACATGTGCTCTTACTCATATTGATTACGCGTAAGTGTTTTTTCTAGGTCATGGGGGAAGGTTTCGAAATTTCAAGATTTGGATTGTTTGCCACGCAAGCATTGCCTAATCCCCCCTTTTCTATCGGGCCGATAATCAGCTCACTTTTGTACCAGTGTCTTATAAATTACATTTTCAGCTCAATTCCCTATCTTGGTCTTCTCCCAACCGATCTCATTGGTAAAAGTCTTCTAGCATTCGTTTATACTCCAGATGTTCACGTCGTCCGACAGGCTCATGTTGATTGTGAGTAGTTACAGTAATCCCCTATATTGTGTTCCTTTATCTCTAACAAAAAAAGGCAAGTTTTTCTTGTTCCTTTTGTGTTGGAGCGGGTGTCTTATGATGATGGTGTTGCTAGCTATGAACGGGTTCTCTTCTTCACACGTCTTGTCTTCTCTTATCAGATCGCTTACTGTCCGGGATCGCACGAGATCTGGATAGAGACGGGATCCGGTCTGTTGGGCAATAGAGGATTCGTTAGTTTTGGGTTTTAGAAATATTTTTTTGGGACCGAGATACCAAATTTGAGCCCCCTCCCCTTAACTTTCAACTTTGAGCCAATTTTTCTTAGATATGGGGAATTCGTCAATTGAAAAATTGTTTATCATAATATCAGAAGTATTTTATCAGTTGAAAATTTTTTGATATCTCTTATAAGAACCGAGATAATTAAGCTCAAACTTGACAGTGTGGGGGGACAGTGTGGGGCACCACATGCTTCCACTTTGACCTCAATTATCTCAGTTCCTATGAGTGTTAACTAAAATCTTTCAACTAATAAAATGTTTATCATAATATCACAAATATTTTATCAGTTGACAAATGTTTTTTATCTTTTACCAAAACCGAGATATATGAGCTCAAACTTGACAGTGTGCGGTCTCTTCTATTATAGTATTTGCGGTATTCCAAATTCGCGGACTATACAGACACCTTCTAGAAAAAGTTTCGAATGTTTCTCTTTTTTTCTTTTTTTTGAAATTCCAAAACCCCAAAATTTCCAGTACACAACTCCCGCGGCAAAATCGTGAAATCCATCGCCGATCTTCGCCTAGTAGCTCACAATGGTTCGATTCTCCGATGCCAGACCGAATGGAGCGCCTATGTGAATCCATGGACCCGTAAGATGGAATTGGTCGTTGCCAGACACCGAATCTGTTCGTTGCCCATCGGAGACGCTGATGTCATTTCCGCGCCGCCAGTCGGTCTTCAATCCAAGACTCTGCCTACAGTAATGGCGAAGACATTTGAGGATGAGCTCAGAACGATTATGAATAAGGTTAGTAGTTTTCTGATAATTGTGATAGCCCTGAGAATCCGCTTCAATTAATAATTGCTAGAACTTCTATATCATTGACCCTATCCATTTCAAAACTGACCTTTTCTCTGATGTCCTCTCAAAATTTCCTTATCTCTCTCACTATCTTTTCTTATCACTAGTTCTTCTTCTTCTTCTCAACCACCGTGCCAGTCACCGTATCTTCTTCTTCTTGCCTCCAAGTTGTTTTGACACTGCACTTTTTTATCTCTGCCCCCTCTTATTCTTCTCCAGAATTCCGCAACATGGCACCGAAGAGAATTAGACGGCGGAAGAGAGAAAAAAGAGTGCCTTTGGAGCCGAAAAAAGTACACTGGCACCCTTGGGGAGGAGTCGGGAACGGCCTGGAGGAGCATGGCACCAAGCCTAGAAGATAGATAGAGCGCGAGAAAAAAAATAAAGAGTGCAAGTGACCAGTGATGACGCGGGGCGGAGCAGTGACAGGTACCGAGCCAGGGGGATTAGGGGCAAGCTACTACTTCCCCAAAAAAGGAGATGTGCACTTTTTCATGAATTTGGAACATCCTCGGGAGGGATGAGAAACTTTTGAGGGGGAACTGAGCGACCAAGGGACGTAGGGACCAAGGGACCAAGGGACCAAGGGACCAGAGGACGTAGGGACCAAGGGACCAAGGGACGACCAAGGGACCAAGGAACTCAAATATCTAGTTTACTGTAAGAGATATCAAAATTGTGTCAACTAGTAAAATATTGGGGATATTATGATACATGATTCATCAGTTGATAAAGTTTTGATATCATTAACAGAAATTGAAATAATGGAGCTCAAAGTATGTAGGTTGGCTGAGGCCGGTGATCCTTGCAACACACAAACTTACAGCTTTATTATCTCCGCTCCTATAAGAGATATCAAAAATTTGTCAACTGATAAAATGTTGCTAATTTTATGATAAACATTTTATCAGTTGAAAGATTTTTGATATCTTTTCAAATAGCCGAGATAGTTGAGCTTTGGGCTGCCTTTTTAAAAATCTTCCCAAAAAAAAGCTGTTTCTTGATCTCTCTAGTTTATCTGTCCAATTTGCAACTTACTAGTACCTCCCACTAAGTTTATGGTCTATCACTACATCTTTTTCTCTCTAATCCTCTCCAAATCGCTTCCTGACCTTTTTTTCTCAAAAAATCAACCACAGAGGTCAATGCCGTTTGTGCAAAACTCAACAAATCCTTGTGATTAAAATGGGCGGAGCCTAAACGGTTTAGGGGGATTGATGCACTTTTAAAAGGATACACATCCCCTAATTACAGGTATATAAGGATATCAGTGATAAGGAAACTTCAATTCAATTTTTGATATTAAGAATGTTTTTGCTAGGTTTTTTCAACCAGGAGAATGAGGTATAGTCCTTTTTTAACCCCTAGGTTTTTGCAAAAGAAAATAAAGTTTGGACATCCGGACAAACAGATTTTTTTGGGATTTTTTTAAACATTTAATTGTCTGGTGGACCATCTGTGTCTTCAGCTGTCCAATAGAAAAAAGGGCAGTTTAATATACCGTATTCGCTCGAATAGAAACCCCGTCTAACCGTAACTTTGAGCTCAATTATCTCGATTTCTGTGAAAGATATCAAAAATGCGTAAACTGATAAAACGCTCCTGATATTATGATACACGTTTTTCTAGTTTACAGACTTTTGATATCTCTTATGGGAATTGAGATAATTGAGCTGGAACGGTCAGCTTCCTACTGATCATTAGAACTCTTGCTCTCCATAATTAGCATTCATGCTCCGTTGCACTTTTAACCCTAACTCCCCTGGCACAGCCTACGCTTGATAACTCCGCGTTTCTGACCAGTAAGACGTCATATTTCGGCCTCTGACACCGTGGAGGCTATCCCCGACCTCACGGCGGCCGGCACGGCGCCGTGCCGGGACAGAGTGCATCTTTCCTTTGGGAAGAGTGCATGAAAATGCAGGCAGCAACGAAAAAGGACACACACACGCAAGCGTCTCTTCTTCTTTAAAGTAGTAACCCCCGCGCTGACTCTCGTTTCTCTCGACCCTCTAGTGCCAGCCGCCGCGCGTAAAAAGGGCACGGGCGCCACCGCGGCCTGTCCGCGGCTGGTCGCGGCTAGCTGCCGCGTATGTCTGCGTCTCTCGGTTCTGAAATGCGAAAGAAGAAGCGGAGTAGGAAGGTCTGTGTTGCGATGATGGAGGAGTAGGCTCCTTGACCATCCACTGACCATCTGGGCTTTAGGCTTTTTGGCTTTAGCCTTCAGGCTTCTAGTGCCCGGGTGGTCCCATCCCTATTCCTATAACCCTATCCTATGGAGCATCGCCACCAAAGTATGTCTATCTCTATTTATTCTTCGTCCATACCGTATCTCGACTAAAAAGCAAAATCTTGAAAATTCCTCACACGCACTAATAATACTAATCTGCTACCTCATTCTCTGCTAAAATTGAAATTGGAAAAGAAAAGAAAAAGTGTGGATGGATCTGGCTACAGTATACCTCTCATTTGGGAATGTTATCAAAGGATAAGTCGAAATTTGTGTTGTGTTGTGAAAAAATACTTTTATTTAACCTATATGACCTAAATTGAGAATTAGGACCCAAATTAAGAATACCGTATAGAAGCCTATCCAAGTCGCCAACTTTGAACCTATATATATTTCCTGTGAAAGATATAAAAAAGTTGTCAACTAAAAAAATGTTTATCATATTATCACCTATATTTCATCAGTTGACAGATTTTTTATATCTTTTATAGGGACCGAGATAATTGAGCTCAAAGTTGAAGGTTCGGCTCGGCGTCTCATTAGAGGAAGTACGGTAGTCTAAATTGAGAATTTAACGCTAGAATGAAAAATGCTTAGTTCAAAATACCGGGAAAATAGCCAAAAGTTAGAATAAAGGGTAAAAGGTCTAAATTTGAATTTTCTGAATTGTACCGGAGTTAAAAATTTAGACATTTCACCCTATTTTAAAGTTTTGGTTTGAGAGTTCCTCAATTTTTTGGCTTCTAGAAACTTTTTCGATCCAACCCAGATAACCCCTAGACAAGATTTTCCCACCTCAAAACCCCCTAGACCCATGTGCCTTATATTTCCACTTCCTCATCTTTGCCGTCCTCGAAAAGTTGCGTCACACTCAAACTTCGCCCCGAAAAAAACAAACATGAACTGTTTAAAGGTGCACCATATTGAACACTTCGTGGTGCCCACCCGGTAGCAGTAGTATACACAGTGGTCCTCGTTGTTGATAATAGTAGGCAGGGCCCAAAGTGAGTGCGTGTGTCTCGGTCTCCACTTATCACCCATCCCCGCGACCACCTTATAACACCATCGGAACCGTGCCAGTTGCACTTTCACCTCCTGCGTATCCTGTTGTGTCCAGTTGTGTGTCGCGGTCCCTGACTTGTTTAACCGCGTGCGACCTCTAGATCCCTCTGGGTGGGTTCCCGTACCTGTCTGTGCGGCCCCCTATACAAGACAGTGCCGCCCCCTCTCCCATTATTCTCACATCTTGCCATCAGACATACCCCCAACAACAATATACCAGTTGCGTCTTTTCTTGACCATCATTTCTACTAATTGTTGATACCTAAACCTTCCTAAACATCATGGACATTCTAACATACCTTTATGATCTGGCCGAGGTAACTAGAATCAATTATTTATTTGAATTAATTGTGATCAAAGGTCTAGAAGGTCTAGAGTTTGAGAAAAAAATCTAGAACGTAAATAGTTCTAAATCTAATTTTTTGACTTTTCAGCCAGTCCCATCCACCTCCCGTCACCATCAATCCTTGAAGGAGCAGCACCAACTCTTCCAGTTAGCAGCCGGATCCACAGATTTGGGTGTCTACATCGACAAACTTGTCGAACACCTTGTTGTCAATTCTACCGTTCAGCAACAACAGAAGGTATAGATTTTTTTTTTGAAAATTTGAAAAAAAACCTAGCCTAGTAAGATAAAAAGTCTATATCCCTCAGAACATTCTTATCCCTCAATCTCAATCCTACCGTATTCCAGGTCGCTGCAGCTGCCGCCGCCGCCGCTCAGGCCGCCCAGGCCGCCGTAGTCGCAACGGCCCAGATGAGAAAAGCTGCTAGTGTTCCAGCAACGACCTCACCGGACCCACCACTGAGCTACACTCAGATCAACTGTCTGGAAAACGTGCACCGCCTTCTGAAGTCTCAATCTCGACCGGAAAGCCCAGCCAAGCAGGACGAGCCGTTCGATGAGAAGTGAGTTTTTTTTTTGAATTTTGAAATTAAAAAAAATGTGGAACATGGCCTTTTTGGAGATGATCTAGAAAACCTGGGTGGTCCTTCAACTCTAGGGATGGGTGGTAAACACTTTTGGGGGGTACCACCAGCCGCCCCCCCCCTTCTTGCCTCTCTTCTCGGAGAGTGGTAACTGTGTCAAAACAAACGCATTATCTACCTCCGAGAGAACGTTCGTTCGCCGGCACAGGCGGGGACCAAGGATAAACAACAACAAAAACATAGTCGTATCTTGTTGGTGACGAAAAAAATAAACTTTTTTATTCCAGGAAGTACCCACCACAAGCTCAATTGACACGAGAAGCGTTGAGTCTTCACACGAAACGATTCGAGGATGAGTACAAGGACACGTGGTGCAGGTAAGAGCTTGGGCAAGATTAGGGCAAACTCCCATCACATCATGCTACCATTCTCTTTTCTCTTTGTCATGAAGAAGAAGAAGCAGAAGCCCCTTTGACCTTCGGGAACAATACCCCATTGTCTGTTTCTTCTTCTTCTTCTGAAGGCTTCTGCTTCTATAAAAAAATTTGGTCAGCGTTCTCGAGGCTGAAAACCAGTCACTACTGTCCCTGTCCCCCCAGACAAAGCTTGTTAAACAACAAGAAACAGTCGAAAGAAGAGACGTGCTTCTTCTTCTTGCGGTCTTCTGAAGAAGGGGGAGGGGGTATTGTTTCGTAGTAATTTTTACACAAATAGAGAGACACATAAAAGAACAAAAAGCTTTGACTACTTTTTCTCAATGTCAATTTCTCCCCCAAACATGGGGGGAGTAATTAGAGAGAATACTTTTCTTTTTCTGCAACATTTTTTGAAACAAAAAGGTCACAGGGTTCATGTAGAATCCCTCGAAAAGCAGCAATAACAACCTAGAAATTTTTCAGACGCCTGAAACGACTAGCCGATGACGTGCCGAGCTCACCACCAGCCAAACAGCTCCGACCATCCGGACCAACGCCGATCCACTGGTCCGCCACGAACAACCAACATCAAAACTATAGATCGATGGCGCCGAATCCACCACCACCACCAGGAAAGAATTATCAGGTTAGTAGAAATTTCAAAAGTTCAAATTATGCATAAATTGGAATTGACAGCTCCTAAAAATGTGCTTTTAGTACCAAATTATTCAAAATTTAAAATAATGGGACCCCTAGCTTTTGACTTCGAGCTCATTTATCTCGATTCCTATATAAGATATCAAGAAGTGGTCAACTGATAAAATGTTTATGATATTATGATAAACAATTTATCAGTTGACAAGGTTTTGATATCTTTCACAGGAGCTGAGATAATTGAGCTCAAACTTTGAAGTCGGGGGGGGGGGGCTTCTAGTCCAGGTTTTCAACCAGCTCCTCATTTCTCATTCATTCCAGATCACCTACACACCACTCGACGATCCAACGGACCAAAAATCTACCAACACCAAGTCCGACGTAGAAAACAGCACAGTTTACCCGATCTCCGGCTCGAAATTCTCGACTCCGATGAGGTTATCGATTGATGGTGGTGCCTCAACGCCTCCTCCACTCGTTCAACGTCTTCTGATGCCACGTGGTGCCACGTCGACAGGCGGAGCATCCCCAACGTCGAGCACCAATTCGCCGCCCACTTTCCCCAAAACCTCATCCTCATCGTCTCTCTTAATGCTACGGGATACTCAGAATTGATTTTTTTGTTTAGGCTTACTCTCTTTTTGTTTTCCTTCTATTTTTTTTGTTTTCTTCTTCTTATTGGTCTTTTAAAAGCTACCCGGATGTCTTTCAAATCGCTCTCGATCACCGGTGCATCGACACCTTTTTTTCCCATTTCCCATTTTTTGTCTTCTCACTACCCGACCCCCTCCCAAAAAACGTCTAGTTTTTTACCAGTCTTTCATTTTGGTATTTTTCAAATAGAAAAAGTTGTTCCTGAAATTTTCCTAAACTATCATATAGGAGTTTTCCAATTTTTCTGAAATTTCTGAAATCAACTTTTTCTGGAACATCCCAGTGCATGGGAGTTCTCGTCCCCCATTTCCCCCCAACAAGCCCCGCCCATTTTTTTTCCATCCCATTCTTCCAAAAAAATCCGATTATGTGCAATGATTTTTCCCACACCGTTTCCTGCCGTTTCTTTTGAAATTTGCAAATTTGCAAAAATTTTTTCCATAGATTCTCATTTTCGCCCCGCCCCCTTCCCCCCCCCCCTTTTCCGCCTAAAACGCCCCAACTGCCCACAGCCAAAATTGATTCGAGACTCTTTTTCTTTCTTTTCCAATTTCAAAATTGTATGTGTGTTGAGTGTATATTACTATATATAAATTATTGGTGACTTCTAATTTTAATACATTTTGAAAATTGTATCTCTGTCTGACTTATGGATATCTGGTAAAATATTTGAAATTTCAAAATTTTTCGGAAAAAAAACATTAAAAGTTAAATCGGAAACATCTGAAATTCACAAACTGCTGAAAATTAAAGCCTCAAAATTTCCATTTTCTAAATGTTTTTCACACATACTTGAAACATGAAAATATGTAGCAACTGCGCTCTGTTGGACAAAAGACACCTGTATTTGGAGACCTATTGATTGATGTTTTGTTTGATTTGAAAGGTTTTCTTGAATCTCAATAATTTTTTTCCAATTCGGGGCGGGTCTCGTTTGATCTACCAATTATTTCATTGTAGATCATTTTCATTATCGCACAATTCAATTTAACAATTTGATTAACTAAAAACGACTTGTCTGCTATTTTTATTCCACTACAAGAAATACAGTAAACTTCAAATTTCAGATGCTCAACGACGTTGCTCCATATCCCCATATCGTGCTTCCCGCCAAAAAAATTGCTTCTCTGGATGATCGTGTCATGTCTACAAAAAGCAGTTTATGCCAAATTTAGGTTTGACTTGTTTTAAGAGCCAGTTCTAACCAAGCTAAAATTATTTTCCAAAAATAAAACCAAAAAAACATTTTCCAGGAGCACCAAGCCTTCTTCGCTCGCGATCCCCTTGTCGATTTTTCCTTGCTCTCAGCCGCCGCGCTCGCCGACCGCTCGTCAGCCGCCCGTACGGTAGTGCTCTCCGCAGCGGGCAGGAGTCGTTTATGAAGTTCGATGAGCACCTTCTGACAAATACGTAAAAATTTGGAGTTGTCTATCAGAAAGGAGTACAGAGCACCGATAGGTAATCACTAAAATATTGAATTAGTCCACTAAATTTATTTTCGTTTTCTTTTTCCAGAAGTGTGAACGACCGATAAATGGGCAGGAGGACAACACCAAAGAGCAATTGTTCGGAAATTTTGTCATTGTTGGGAGACGCTGTACCGCTTTAGGGATTCGAGGTAAAAAAGTGGAAAAAGTTAGCCTAGGTGTCCAATTGTCAGATTCCAAAACGCCTTCTTCACAGTACAGGGGAATAATTTAAACAAAAACGCATTTTCCGTTGATTTTTGGCCGCCGTTTTGACAATTTTTTGTAGTTTCTTCTGGGCGGGGACCATTTGATCTACCAATTAAAATCCATTGTAGATCATCAGCATTTTCCTATTTTCTCTCCTTTTTTTGCTTTCCTTCTAGCGAATTCCTCTCTTTTCTGTAGAATTTTTGGAATTCGCACTAGACTCAATTTAACGATTTGACTGACTAAAAAAAGTTAGTCTTCTATTTTTGCTTCACTAAAAGAAATACAATAACCCTTTGATTAAAGATGCTCAACCACGTTAGTCCATATAATCGGATCGTGCTTCCAGTCAGCGGATTCCGAATGGACGGTGCCAGCTCTCACCCATCGGAATGTTCATCGAATATCAGTTTGGCCAGGAATATAAGGCCAGAAATCCATTCAACAGTAGCGAGAAGTTCAAACTGGAAACATATGAGTCGTGCCATGTCTACAGCAAGCAGTTTATGCAAAATGTAGGTGGAAATTTTTGGTTGTGTCCGTTTAACCGCTATTGGCTTGTTTTGAGAGCCAGACAGATTTGAAATAGGCGCTTTATAGAATGGCTCATAATTACCGGCACAAAAGTTTTGTACAACCACAAAGTTTGAGTTCAGCGTTGTTCTGGACTCAGTAAACTGGCCAAGTTTCAAATTAATTGATCAATTTTTAGCTGAGCTTCTATTATTTTCCCTATCTTGAAAATATTTCAATCACCCAGGGACTCGTACTGTGATCAGTAACAACTTAAGCTTTTGAATGCACGCCGCTCATCTGTCTTTTCATATCAACTTTGCCGGCGTATAAAAACTTAAGATGTGATATTGAGTGGCTGAAAATACATGAATGTCAGGACCAAGCCTTTTAAAATCATCTATAAAAACTTCAGACAAATACGAGAATAATCAAATTAGTAAATAGAATAATCAAATTAGCAATTTTCCCGATTTTTGAGCTAAATTGATCTAACGGCTGGAATGTATGCTTTTAGTCGATTGCAGTGTTCATTTTTAATTAAATTTTTTTTTGATCGAAAAAAGCTAAGTCTTACATAAGGCATTTTTTTCGAAATCCCAAAAAAAAATTTTTTTTTGATTTTTTGTCTTAGAAACGTTCCACATTCAATTTCAAGTTACGTCCCAAAATTTCAAGTCCAAATCTCTTATTTGAACAAAGTTATTAAGGATTTTTCTAAGCCTATACTTAAGCCAAAATTCGGTTTCAGGCTTTTGTCCATAACTTCGTATCGAGAAGAGATCTCGATCTGATATTTGAATCCGGTACCTAAAATTGAATGTCAAACGTTTTCTTAACAAAAAATATCAAAAAAGTGACAAACATTTTTTGATCGAAAAAAAAAGCTAAGTCTTACATAAGGCATTTTTTTCGAAATCCAAAAAAATTTTTTTTTGATTTTTTGTCATAGAAACGTTCCACATTCAATTTCAAGTTACGTCCCAAAATTTCAAGTCCAAATCTCTTATTTGAACAAAGTTATTAAGGATTTTTCTAAGCCTATACTTAAGCCAAAATTCGGTTTCAGGCTTTTGTCCATAACTTCGTATCGAGAAGAGATTTCGATCTAATATCTGAAACGGGTACCTCAAATTGAACGTCAAACGTTTTCTTAACAAAAAATATCAAAAAAGTGACAAACATTTTTTTGATCGAAAAAAAAGCTAAGCTTGATTTTTTGTCTTAGAAACGTAGATCAAAAAACGCGAAAGTTTTCAAATTCACAGGTGTCACTTTTTTTAATCCGACAATAGATGTATCCAACCAAAATGGAACTTTGTGTGAAAACAATACTTGTATGTGTCTTTCTTCTGACAAAATTTCAGTGAAATCATGAAGTATGACATGGAGTTACATCAATTTGAATCGGAAAACAGCGGCGTGAAAGAAAGATTACGCCGTACATCTTTGAACAATTATAACAACAACTAGACTAGAGGAAACGGTCTGGGAAGTTCAGAAAACTTGTATAAAATAAAGAGTTACACATGTTCCAATTTTCGGTGCTTCCAACATACTTATGTCTAAAGATTTACCCTATTGATTTGTGCGGGTAATTATAAACAACCCTGTAATCAAGCCAAAACCGAATTCCAAGAAAAAACCAAAAAACATTTTCCAGGAACACCAGGACTTCTTCGCTCACGATCTCCTCTGCTGACGCCTTCAACATCGTTCTTCGTACTCCGCCGCGCTGGCCGCCCGCCCATCAGAGGACCACCGAGGATCAATTGTTTGGAAATTCGCGAGAAAGTTCGTCGTTCGCAGACTTTTTGTCATTGCCGAGAGATACTGTACTGCTTTAGGGAATCGAGCTCAAAAGAAGGCAAATTGGGTTTTCCAACAAATAACTAAGAAGGACGCTCTTTTGACTTACATTTGTTGTTTATGCCCCCTAATTACTTATCTGATGACGCAAACGCAAGAGTGGCGTGCCCTGTTCCAGAGATGCTGCCTTCCAGTGAACCGTAGAACACTGACCGACTAGACCCTCAGCCCATTGCTTTTTTCTAGAATTTATAAGAAAAGATTCGACCTCGAATGGTGAAAAAAAAGATAGAATTCTCACAGAAGAAAAATAATAAGAAATATAAAAAGCAATACTAAATTTGATCTACCACTAAAAGTTGTTTTCAAACCTCTTTATGGTAGATCAAATTCGGTATGCATTTTTTATTTCTTCTGTTTGAGTTCTATCAATTTTTCACAATTTATCTGTAAAAATCACAAAATTTTAGTTTTTTTGTATTTTTGCAAAAAAGTTAAAGCATTTTTTTTTCAAAAATCTCAAAAAATTTTTGGTGTTTCGTTATAAAAATATTTTACGTTCAATTTCAAGCTATTCCCCAATATTTCAGGTCAATATCTCTCATTTGAACAAAGTTATGGCTTCAATAAGAGACGTTATGAAATTTCTGAAACAAAATTTTGACTTAAAAAAAAGATTCAAGTCTGAAACTTTGTGCTACAGCTTGATATTGAACAAAGAACTGAAATTCTTGTGAATGCTGAAAATGATTTCTCAATCTCCTGGAGCACTCGGAAATAACAAAGCATACCGGAAAAATCTAACAGAGCGCCATCAAAAAAACCACATCAACTTCAAGCCAACGTATCTTATTTCTTGTAGATGATATCAGAAAGTGATCAACTGATCAAATGTTGCTGATATTATGGCAAACATTTTGTCAGTTAATCACTTTTTGATATTTTATACAGGAAAGGAGGTAGTTGAGCTGAATGTTGATGGTTTCGGTAGGATTCTATTAGAGTGTTAAAGGTATTCTCTGAAAAAAACAACAACATATTTCAGGTCGAACCCCATCTATAGGGGTTGGAGACCTCGCGAGATTGAAATATTTATTACGATTAAATTATAAATGATAAAAGCAATATGAGAAATGGACATGATTGAAGAGGAAAGCTCCATGACTTCGATGGAACATCATCTTCGATTGGTTTCGTTTTGCTTCGAGAGGTCTCGATTGATATCCGCCGTTCCGTCTTCGATCAGGACTTCATTATCGGATAGACGACTGCGGACTAATGAAGTTTTTAAAAACTCTGCGGACGCTGGACTTCCTTGTGGATTTCCAAATAATTGCTCCTCGGTGGTCTGTCCTCCTTTCTGACAGACAATTCCAAATTTATTCATATTCGTTAGAATTTGCTCATCGTAATTCATAACCAACTCCTGTCCTGGTGATTTCCTCGTAGAGTACTTCTGTCATACGGGCGGATGAGAGCGAAGAATGACGTTTGAGACGTCAGCAGAGGGAATCTTCTAAGCCTGGCCACTAATTGTAAGGAAGAGTGGACCGACAAGTGTATCGTGAGCGAAGAAGTCGTGATGGTCCTGAAAAATATATTTTTGGTATTCTGTGGCAATATTGATTAGACTGCTTTCTGATTTGTCTCCCTCTTAAAATAAGCCGATCGCAGCCAATTCAAAACTCTAGTCAAGCCAAACCTACTTTGGATTAAACTGCTTTCAGTAGACATGACACGACTCATCAATTTCCAGTTTGAACTTCTTAAAACTGTTGTTAATTTGATAATCCGCTAACCGTTCCTTCAGAAGACTCTTGTGGATGGCATTTTTTTGATTGAGCTCCGTCTACGAACGTTACGTGGTTCAAAGGTGACTTCCTTGGTCGTCGGATGGGCCTAACATAGATTATGAGATGTTTCTAAGAGAGATATAAAGACAACAACAACCTCATCAACTACCTTGAACTAGTGGTCGGGTGTAGGGGAACCGAAGCTCCGTCTACGAACGTTACGTGGTTCAAAGGTGACTTCCTTGGTCATCGGATGGGCCTAACATAGATTATGAGATGTTTCTAAGAGAGATATAAACACAACAACAACCTCATCAACTTCCTTGAACTAGTGGTCGGGTGTAGGGGAACCGAAGCTCCATCTACGAACGTTACGTGGTTCAAAGGTGACTTCCTTGGTCGTCGGATGGGCCTAACATAGATTATGAGATGTTTCTAAGAGAGATATAAAGACAACAACAACCTCATCAACTTCCTTGAACTAGTGGTCGGGTGTAGGGGAACCGAAGCTCCGTCTACGAACGTTACGTGGTTCAAAGGTGACTTCCTTGGTCGTCGGATGGGCCTAACATAGATTATGAGATGTTTCTAAGAGAGATATAAAGACAACAACAACCTCATCAACTTCCTTGAACTAGTGGTCGGGTGTAGGGGAACCGAAGCTCCGTCTACGAACGTTACGTGGTTCAAAGGTGACTTCCTTGGTCATCGGATGGGCCTAACATAGATTATGAGATGTTTCTAAGAGAGATATAAAGACAACAACAACCTCATCAACTTCCTTGAACTAGTGGTCGGGTGTAGGGGAACCGAAGCTCCGTCTACGAACGTTACGTGGTTCAAAGGTGACTTCCTTGGTCGTCGGATGGGCCTAACATAGATTATGAGATGTTTCTAAGAGAGATATAAAGACAACAACAACCTCATCAACTTCCTTGAACTAGTGGTCGGGTGTAGGGGAACCGAAGCTCCGTCTACGAACGTTACGTGGTTCAAAGGTGACTTCCTTGGTCGTCGGATGGGCCTAACATAGATTATGAGATGTTTCTAAGAGAGATATAAAGACAACAACAACCTCATCAACTTCCTTGAACTAGTGGTCGGGTGTAGGGGAACCGAAGCTCCGTCTACGAACGTTACGTGGTTCAAAGGTGACTTCCTTGGTCGTCGGATGGGCCTAACATAGATTATGAGATGTTTCTAAGAGAGATATAAAGACAACAACAACCTCATCAACTTCCTTGAACTAGTGGTCGGGTGTAGGGGAACCGAAGCTCCGTCTACGAACGTTACGTGGTTCAAAGGTGACTTCCTTGGTCATCGGATGGGCCTAACATAGATTATGAGATGTTTCTAAGAGAGATATAAAGACAACAACAACCTCATCAACTTCCTTGAACTAGTGGTCGGGTGTAGGGGAACCGAAGCTCCGTCTACGAACGTTACGTGGTTCAAAGGTGACTTCCTTGGTCATCGGATGGGCCTAACATAGATTATGAGATGTTTCTAAGAGAGATATAAAGACAACAACAACCTCATCAACTTCCTTGAAATAGTGGTCGGGTGTAGGGGAACCGAAGCTCCGTCTACGAACGTTACGTGGTTCAAAGGTGACTTCCTTGGTCATCGGATGGGCCTAACATAGATTATGAGATGTTTCTAAGAGAGATATAAACACAACAACAACCTCATCAACTTCCTTGAACTAGTGGTCGGGTGTAGGGGAACCGAAGCTCCGTCTACGAACGTTACGTGGTTCAAAGGTGACTTCCTTGGTCATCGGATGGGCCTAACATAGATTATGAGATGTTTCTAAGAGAGATATAAACACAACAACAACCTCATCAACTTCCTTGAAATAGTGGTCGGGTGTAGGGGAACCGAAGCTCCGTCTACGAACGTTACGTGGTTCAAAGGTGACTTCCTTGGTCGTCGGATGGGCCAAACATAGATTATGAGATGTTTCTAAGAGAGATATAAAGACAACAACAACCTCATCAACTTCCTTGAACTAGTGGTCGGGTGTAGGGGAACCGAAGCTCCGTCTACGAACGTTACGTGGTTCAAAGGTGACTTCCTTGGTCATCGGATGGGCCTAACATAGATTATGAGATGTGTCTAAGAGAGGTATAAAAACAACAACAACCTCATCAACTTCCTTGAAATAGTGGTCGGGTGTAGGGGAACCGAAGCTCCGTCTACGAACGTTACGTGGTTCAAAGGTGACTTCCTTGGTCGTCGGATGGGCCTAACATAGATTATGAGATGTTTCTAAGAGAGATATAAAGACAACAACAACCTCATCAACTTCCTTGAACTAGTGGTCGGGTGTAGGGGAACCGAAGCTCCGTCTACGAACGTTACGTGGTTCAAAGGTGACTTCCTTGGTCGTCGGATGGGCCAAACATAGATTATGAGATGTTTCTAAGAGAGATATAAAGACAACAACAACCTCATCAACTTCCTTGAACTAGTGGTCGGGTGTAGGGGAACCGAAGCTCCGTCTACGAACGTTACGTGGTTCAAAGGTGACTTCCTTGGTCATCGGATGGGCCTAACATAGATTATGAGATGTGTCTAAGAGAGGTATAAAGACAACAACAACCTCATCAACTTCCTTGAAATAGTGGTCGGGTGTAGGGGAACCGAAGCTCCGTCTACGAACGTTACGTGGTTCAAAGGTGACTTCCTTGGTCGTCGGATGGGCCTAACATAGATTATGAGATGTTTCTAAGAGAGATATAAAGACAACAACAACCTCATCAACTTCCTTGAACTAGTGGTCGGGTGTAGGGGAACCGAAGCTCCGTCTACGAACGTTACGTGGTTCAAAGGTGACTTCCTTGGTCGTCGGATGGGCCTAACATAGATTATGAGATGTTTCTAAGAGAGGTATAAAAACAACAACAACCTCATCAACTACCTTGAACTAGTGGTCGGGTGTAGGGGAACCGAAGCTCCGTCTACGAACGTTACGTGGTTCAAAGGTGACTTCCTTGGTCGTCGGATGGGCCTAACATAGATTATGAGATGTTTCTAAGAGAGATATAAAGACAACAACAACCTCATCAACTTCCTTGAACTAGTGGTCGGGTGTAGGGGAACCGAAGCTCCGTCTACGAACGTTACGTGGTTCAAAGGTGACTTCCTTGGTCGTCGGATGGACCTAACATAGATTATGAGATGTTTCTAAGAGAGGTATAAAAACAACAACAACCTCATCAACTTCCTTGAACTAGTGGTCGGGTGTAGGGGAACCGAAGCTCCGTCTACGAACGTTACGTGGTTCAAAGGTGACTTCCTTGGTCGTCGGATGGGCCTAACATAGATTATGAGATGTTTCTAAGAGAGATATAAAGACAACAACAACCTCATCAACTTCCTTGAACTAGTGGTCGGGTGTAGGGGAACCGAAGCTCCGTCTACGAACGTTACGTGGTTCAAAGGTGACTTCCTTGGTCGTCGGATGGGCCTAACATAGATTATGAGATGTTTCTAAGAGAGATATAAAGACAACAACAACCTCATCAACTTCCTTGAACTAGTGGTCGGGTATAGGGGAACCGAAGCTCCGTCTACGAACGTTACGTGGTTCAAAGGTGACTTCCTTGGTCGTCGGATGGGCCTAACATAGATTATGAGATGTTTCTAAGAGAGATATAAAGACAACAACAACCTCATCAACTACCTTGAACTAGTGGTCGGGTGTAGGGGAACCGAAGCTCCGTCTACGAACGTTACGTGGTTCAAAGGTGACTTCCTTGGTCGTCGGATGGGCCTAACATAGATTATGAGATGTTTCTAAGAGAGATATAAAGACAACAACAACCTCATCAACTTCCTTGAACTAGTGGTCGGGTATAGGGGAACCGAAGCTCCGTCTACGAACGTTACGTGGTTCAAAGGTGACTTCCTTGGTCGTCGGATGGGCCTAACATAGATTATGAGATGTTTCTAAGAGAGATATAAAGACAACAACAACCTCATCAACTTCCTTGAACTAGTGGTCGGGTGTAGGGGAACCGAAGCTCCGTCTACGAACGTTACGTGGTTCAAAGGTGACTTCCTTGGTCGTCGGATGGGCCTAACATAGATTATGAGATGTTTCTAAGAGAGATATAAAGACAACAACAA